TTTTTTTTTGGCTCCCTCTCGTTTCCATATTTACAGCGCCATCTCCTCTGGATGCTTGACTCCTTCCGTGTTGCATCGACGTCGATTCCGCGCTCTGCCGGAAGGATTGGTGTGGTAAGAGCGCGGGTTTTTGGGCGTTGTGGCATGCTGAGGAGTGGTAACGAGTCGCGGCATTTGGGGCAGGCGCGGGGGGCGTGTCGTGTAAATTTCACAACTTTACGCGCGTGCGCGGGTGTGTACGAGTGTTGGTCTCTGTGCGACAAGGCTTTTGATTGCTGGCCACCATTGGCGATGAGTGAGAGTGTCAAGAGCTGGCTCTTTTCGCACTGTGCCTCTCAGGCGATCGAAGCGCTCGAGGGTGGGTTTGACCTTGCGGACCTGCCCTATGTCCGGGGGAATCGGGTGCAGCTGTTGCGGTTTCTCACGTTCCGAACCTCGCAGGCAAGCACCGACATCTGGGCGCTCGTGGGGGACCGAACGCACTGTATCGCCGCACGCTTCTCGCGGTCCCAAGTAAACCGGTTCCAGCGCGACCATCCGATCAGCTTTACCGCGCTCAAGGGCGCCTTGGTGACGATGACCAACGTCAAGATCACGGTGGCAAGGGTTCAGATGCATACCACCGGCGGACCGTATCGTCCGGGCCAGTACGCGATGGTTTTGGATGTGCGCGGTTTCGAGGTGGTATCGAGTATGGGAGAACCGGTCTGGTTTGGTGGGGTCAAACTCGTCACGAGTGCAAATGCAGTGCCGGAGGGCGAGGGGCAGAGGGCGGGGAGGATGGTGGAGTGGATGAAAAAGTGGATCCGCTACAAGTGCTTACTCCGCCGCGCTAGGGCGGATCAACGACGCACTCGCCAACACGCCTCGAGTCAGAAAGAGCATGCGTCGTCCCTGCCCACTCCGGCGCAGAGAGCGGTGATGCAGTGCTCGCAGCTCCAGAATGTAGTGCCCGTGGTGACGGCGTCGCTGGGCAAGGACTCGCAGACGACCAACGCCACGCCAGACGCTCTGTGGGACGACTACGATCTAGATGCCGATGTGGGCGAGGTTGTTGTACCAAACACGTGGACGGAAGCGACATCACAGCAGCAAGCAGCTGCAAAGCAAACGCAGCAAACGCAGCAGACACAGCAGACGCACACGCAGAGCGGCTCGGATCCCGACGAGTCCGGTCTGTCCGACCACGAGCGTCAACGTCGACGTATCAAGCGACAAGCGAGACCCCACCGCGCTACAACCCCACCTGCTGCTCCAGTCAAGCCAGAAGAGCCGGCGAGCAGCGATGCGCGCGCACTCGGCGCCACACCATCAACCACCGCACGCCGAAAACGCAAACGTCCCTCGGCCATAGCTGCCCTGTAAGTTCCCCCATCTCCCCTTGCTCTGGACGCCGACCAGCCAACTGACCCCATGAACAATTCATCTCGACAGCATGGCACAAATCGTAGACTAGCAACACGACACACCCCCACACGCACGAACAGGAACGGTTTGGTAGTGATCTCTGAACCAGAGGAGTGGAATTTTTGGGTTGTGGGTCGAGACCGAAGCCCCGGGAGTGTGAAGAATACACGGTGAATGTGGGAAAAAGGGGCGAGATGCAAGGTGAAATGTCGTAAAGCCAGCGGGAAGGAACCAGGAAAGAAGCGATCGCGCCACAAAGGTGCGCGCCAACGCTGCTTAACGGTAACGACGCAGCTGGAGGGTGTCGCGCTTGCGGATGGTGGCGTTCTTGCCGCCGCCCTGGGTCTTGTTGTAGCGGTGGCCCTTGCCCTGGCCACGGCTCCTCTTGCCGGTGGCGGTGAGGCCACGGCACTCGCGGCGCTTGTGAACAGCCTTGGCGATCCAGTTGATGCGGGGGTCGCGGCGGATGGCCTTGTGCTGAGGGTCAACGGCGATCACCTCAAAGTACTTGTACACACCGTCCTGGTTGATCCAGTACGAGTTGAGGATGCGCAGGTTGGAGCACTTGCGGCCCACACGCTCCTCGGCGGTGGCACGCAGCGAACGCTGGTACTTGAGGTGGTTCACACCCTGGCGGACGGGCTTGCCGTAGGTGGCACCCTTGGGAACGGGCTTCTTGCGGTTACCACGGCGCACACGGATGCGGTAGATAACGTAGCCCTGCTTGGCCTTGTAGCCCAGACGGTGCGCCTTGTCGAGACGCGAGGGGCGCGAGGCACGGTGGATCACGTTGAGCTGGCGGTACTCCCAGCATCTATTAGAGTCAAGGAAGAGGACAGAGTGGCGTCGGTCAGTAAGAGATGGTCAGGAGGTGGTGGCGGGTGCGGCCCCCCAGGACCGCTCCATCCATCTTGCTTGTGTGCTCGTCTGCTGCAGGCCACATGTCCGAACCCTTATTCTAGCATGTGCCGCGCACGACAGGGCGAAAGACGAGCGGCGTGTAGCTGGGCTTGTGTACGCAGAAGGAGAAGTGTGACACTGAGAGGCAGAGCGTCATTGGCGACGGCTGAACTCCCAAGGACACAATCTCCTCCATTGTCACATTGAGCCACATACGGGGCGTCGATCCACCTTGCCGCTGTGCGGAACGAGCTGAGGCAGTGAACTCTGTGACGGCAGAGTAGCGAGTGCGACTGGCGGCGACAAGAGCAGCGACGATGGATGGTGCTGATGTGGGCGGAAGGCGCGGCGGGTCGGATACTAACCGAACGCGGAGAAGGAAACGGAGCACATCGCTCTGCTTCTTCTTGTAGAGCTCCTCGACGTATTTGTAGGCACCCATCTGTATCGAGTCGCGCAGAAACGGTGGAAGTTGGTGCGGAGGACGAGAGAGAGAGAAAGGGTCGAGAAAGAAAAAGAGTGCGTAAGCACGGTCAGCACGAGCTTTCAAGCAATCGTGAAGGGGGACTCAAAAGGTCGACGCCCTGCCGCCACCACATCCGCGAGCGGTTCGCGCAGCGACCAATCGAGGGACTGATCGCCATCGCTACTACAACTCGGCAGATGAGCAGAAGACAAGGGTACTAAACGTCCCAGAACGCAGCAAAGCCAAGAATGTCGAGGGCGAGGCCGCGAATCGTGCTGACGCGAAACGGTGAACAAGATGCTGATGTTGTCGAACGCATGATCGTAATCTCCAAGCGATTCCTCGTATGTCGAATGTATCCAGGCCGTCGATAATTGTTCGGCCACATCTGCGATGGTCCTTACATCTGAGTAGCGTGTCTCGGTGCGGCGTCGATGGCGAAAGTTGGTGGTGCTGATGCGATGATGGCTGGCTGCGTTCGTGGTTGTTCTGGTGTCGATTCTGAGAGGTGTATGAGTTGTAGCGCCTTACCTTGAATGATTCTTGATGACGAAGTCGTAGGGTGTCGAGAAGGAAGTGCCACGATGACGACCAACTGCTACCAGCCTTGCGCCTGCTCTGCCTGCTCTGCCTGGCCCAGGTTCGGTTCAGTGCAGTCCAGACAGACCTCGGTCGTCGAACGCACAGCTAACATGACTTTGGCAATTTTTCAGGCTGCCCTCTGCCACTGGACAGCCGAACTCTGATCCCAGCTGCTCCCTGGCTGCTCTCGCGACGCTTGACGACCCATCAGCCTCGACCAACAGCGAGCTGGCCGTGTCTTTGGTGTTGAGACGAAGCTGCACGTGACATCAACACTGCTCTGCTGCCTGAACCCAAATGACTTGACGAATTTCGGCAGACCTCGGCCGAGCTTTTCGGTGCCGCTGGTTTTCGAGATTTTTGCGAAGTTTCAAAAGTGGCCTCCAGGGCGGCGAGCTCAGCTGGGCAGCGGCGCTCGCAGCGAGTGCCAAAGCAACGGACGCTCGAGCTGGCCATGTTAGAAGGCAGCCCGGCTGGGCCTTGGGAGTGCCCAGTCCTGGCAGCAACTGGGCAAGAGCGGTGAGGCAGCGCAGACCAGCGCAGCGCGGCGCAGCGCGGCGAGCCCAGCTCGGGTCCATACTCGAGCTCGTCGTCGCCATCTGTCTTCCCGAACACCAAGCCTGAAGCATCAGCCTCAAGAATCCAAGATGGTAAGTTGACACGATCGGCATCTAGCAACATCCGGCAGCATCGCGGTGGAACATGTCGGTACAGACACGTTGGAGCGCAACTCCTGGAATGCATCGACAAATGGCAGCGCAACGACTTGTCCAATGTGCATGCTGCAGGTCAGGACCGTGACGCTGGAGCAGGAGGAGCAAACCTTGACGGCATTCATCCGCCCCACCCGACGATGTTGCCGTTGCTAGATGGCCAGCAGTGGACATAGACGCCATAAGCACACGTACTAACACCACCAATGCTGTCGTGCACATCCACAGCCGTTCGTTAAGACTGTCAAGTCCAGCGCCTACTTCTCGCGCTACCAGGTCAAGTACCGCCGCCGTCGCGAGGGCCGCACCGACTACTACGCCCGCAAGCGTCTCGTGTCGCAGGCCAAGAACAAGTACAACGCCCCCAAGTACCGCCTGGTCGTGCGTTTCTCCAACCGCTACGTCACCTGCCAGATCGTGCACGCCAAGATCGCCGGTGACTACGTCCTCACCCAGGCTTCGTCCAAGGAGCTCCCCCGCTACGGTGTCAAGACCGGTCTTGCCAACTGGACCGCCGCCTACGCCACCGGTCTCCTCGTTGCCCGTCGTGCGCTCACCATCCTCGGCCTTGCTGACAAGTACGAGGGTGTCACCGAGCCCGATGGTGAGATGGCCGAGGTCGAGTCGCTTGGCGACGACGAGCCCCGCCCCTTCAAGTGCTTCCTCGACGTTGGTCTGAAGCGCACCTCGACCGGTTCGCGTGTCTTTGGTGCCCTCAAGGGCGCCTCGGACGGCGGCATCTTCATCCCCCACTCGGAGAAGCGATTCCCCGGTTACGACCCCGAGGCCAAGGAGCTCGACGCCGAGCTGCTCCGCTCGTACATCTACGGCGGCCACGTTGCCGAGTACATGGAGTCGCTCGAGGAGGAGGATGACGAGCGCTTCAAGAAGCAGTTCTCCACCGCCCTCGAGCAGGAGGTTGGCTCCGAGGACCTTGAGGACATGTGGACCGAGGCTTTCGAGAAGATCCGCGAGGACCCCTCGTTCACCGCCTCGGACAAGTCCAAGAACTGGGCCGCCGAGTCCAAGAAGTACAAGGCCACCAAGCTCACCTACGAGCAGCGCAAGGCCAAGATCGCCGACAAGATCGCCGCCTTCAAGGCCGGCGCCGAGCTCTAAGCGTCTGCCCCACGGCATCTTGCGATTTCATAGGCACTTCTTGGCTTCACTTGTCCCTCTCTTCTCTTTGCATCCCCCACACACACACAACCCCAAAAGTTAAACCTGGCGAGGTCGTTGCATTAGACGACTCGCCTGCGTATATGCATTTGCAATACCATCGACCTTGTCCACCACGGGATAGCGTCGTGTTGTAACATCACTCCTTGTTGCTTGTGTCTGTCTCGTTGTCTGAACGTCGCTGCCGCGTACAACCAAGAAAAGCGTGAGGCACTCTTGGCATGCTTTGTTCGGCGTCTCGGACCCGTCTCGACGTTGCTCGTCCACATTCTCAATGTGCGTCCCTTCGACCCAGACATTGCGAGTGCTTGAGCTCGGATCTCAGGACCATGGTGGCTTCCAAACTCACGCACGCGATCATACACACAAGAAAATAGGATGCTATGCTCGTTTTGAGATTCGTTTTTTGGGGGGGGGGGGGGGGG